CTACGATCAGAAACGTAAATTTCACAAAACGTGCGTTAATCTTAGGATAACCACAAGATCAGACACGTGCGGACTTATCGAGACGTTTTTTCGAAAATTTCTCACAATCTGTTACGACCTGTAACAACCTGCAGGTAGATATGCACTGCACTTTGGTCCTAGCTAGACTAATTCGATTTCTAAGAACGTTTTGCACCACGAAAGAATTTTGAACCACGCACCTCAAGATCTGTTTGTTTGTACATTGACTTGTTTACCATATTCTGAACTTATTATTCGCTCTGCAATCTGTTCATGATTTTGCGGTGAAAATGTGTTTAATTTCCGTATGTAAACCTCCATTTTTTCGTTCATTTTTATTGTTGCCAGTGTGTGTTCAAACCGATTGATACATTCGTTATGGCCAGTATTGGTAAACATAAATGACGCAAGTTAAACACGTGAATCACAAACTAAAAGTGCATTGCTCAAACAGTCACGGACGCGTCAAACCCGGATTGCGATGACCTTTGTCTATTGACCTGTCTAACTTTTAAAATTCAAATTAATCCGCTGTAACTTCAAGTGGGTCCAACCAATCGCACTGCCCCAGGAATCCAGCAAAGTGATTGATTTGCCATCACAGGTCACCGATTGAACCGGGTCTATCAAAACCCCGCCTAGGATTTTCAACGGAAATCTCAGAAAGTTCATTTGAATGGTTTCCATCTGAAATGGACTCAGAAAGAGAAGAATTGGAAAATTCAGTATTGGGGTATTGTAAATTATTTGGCCACTGTCTGCGATGGACTGACACATCGTCTAAGTCAAGAAATTGATAAATTATTTGACTCATCTAGTTCAGCATCAATCCTCTCGAAGGACGTAGCTCATTTCCACGACGATGGATCACTTCAGCTGATTCAAGATTAAAAAGATTGCTACAAAGTATACGATTTTTGAATAATTTGGCCGGACTATTCCCCGTAGCAGCATAAGTAGAGCTCTTATACTACATGAAGAAATCATCAACACCGTTGTCTAAATCAGTGAAAGTAGACATGTGACAGGACACAATTGTACTTTTCAATATCCAAACGAAGCTTTCTGCTGCACCGTTCTACTGTGGAAGTCCAGATTGAGTTATTACAAGTCGGCAGCCAATAGATTTCAACCAATCCGTCACGCCGTTTGCTGTGAAGTGACTTCCGTTATCAGTGACGACAGCTTGTAGATGAACGTCTTCCAAAAAGCGGTTATGGTGAATTCTGTGTTGAGTCATGTAGTGAAACAAACCACAGGCCACCGTAAATAAGGGTCAATAAGCACTATAGCGTAGTATTTGTTTAGGAAGGGATCACAGTAATCAGCATGAACTCGCTGTCAGGGTTCAGAAGACATCGGCCAAAGAGTCCACATATATGGTTGTGGATGAACATTGTGGATGCTGTCACTACATGATTTGGCCACTCGACATAAATCACTGTTAAGCTCCGGCAAGCAACAAGTCAAACGTGCGAGTGATTTTATCTTCTCAACACCGAGCTGTCTTGAATACAAACCACTCAGTAATGTGGGCCGTAAAGATGGATGGATAATAGTTCGGTCGTTGAGACTATCCATCACAAGTTACTGAAAGTTCTTCAGGACGTTCATAGAACTCTGTGAATCGGCGTTTGATGTCAGCTCACCAACCGTGTCAAACACAATAAATGACTGTATGATAGTACTTCCTTGCCTCTCGGACTAGGTCAGCTCGACTGACAGGGAGTGATTGTATCAGTAAACAATCAGATGTATCAGGCTCCTCGGACAAACTATAACGCGATAGATAGACCAAGTGTTGAATCATGTGCCTTGCGATGTTGAATATCGTAAGAACAACCGGCTAGTGCGACGCTCCATCACTGTACCATGGTTGATGAGGACTTTGCAAGAGATCGGTGGGGATTTTAAATGAACTTCAATGCCTCTTCGTCCGATATAATTGTGAAATGTGAGCCATATAAGTATTTGTGAAATCGAAGAATAGACCAGTATACTGTAAGAGCCTCTCTGTGTGTTTGGGAGTAACCACGTTCAGTCTGACTGAGTTTGCGAGAAATGCATAGAACTGGATGAACTTCTGCTCCAACACTGTTGCAATGCCGACTGGTGATGCGTCTGTAATTAACTTCGAATGTGCTTTCGGTCAAAAAGTATGTGAAACTGCACCAGTGGAAAGAAAACTTGTTGAGTCTCTAAGTGTAGTGACCATTCACATCCCATTCTAAACGTAACCTTCCTCCTGTGGAACAATCAAGAAGAACTGGCCAGAGCGGCGCAAGATATAAACTGGATACTCACCCAGCCGATGCATCCCTGGAAACCAGATGAAGCCATATAAAGACAGGACTTCTCATACCTACGGATAGGTTCGCGTCTTTGGTTCCGTTAGGAAAGGAGCAACAGCCTCCTTGATGGAAAGCAAATATAGATAGGGCTATAACCATTCGTAAAAAACGGTGGGCGATTTATAAACTGTATGGCACCCATCAGTCGTGGAATGGTTACAAATAAGCGCGCAACTATGCACAGAAAGTGAAAAGAAAGGCTGAATACCAATTTGGGAGAAACTTGGCGCAAACGTCAAGCGAAATCCCAAGTGTTTTTATACGTATGTTCAATCTAAGCGTAACACTCGGGACACAGTTGGTACTCTGGAATGTTCGACCGGAGAGTTAGCAGTGAGTGAGGGCGATAGAGTATGTATCCTGTTACGGTTCTTCAAAAGCACGTACAGGATCCCCAGGGTGACAGATAACCTTCCATCAATCGAAGGTAAATGCACGATGCCCCCAATCATTGTGGAAATTAAGGATTTGCAGCGGGAGTTAGCAAGGCAAAATAGGTTCAAGGCGGTGGGGCCTGACGGAATTCCCCCAGCGATTGTGCAACCGCTAGCTTACGTCATAATAAAACCGATCTTCGAGTTATTTAAACAGTCACTTAGACTGGGAACTGTCCCGAACGACTGGCGCAAAGCCACAGTAGTGGCAATACACGAGTCTGGATCCCGGCAAAATTCGAGAATCACAGACCAGTAAGTATGACATCAGTAATATGTAAGTGTTTGGAGCGCCTAGTTAGAAGACAAATATGCCACTATATGGTCAATAGCGGGCTGCTGGTATCAGCTCAGCACGGATTTCCTGAAAAGAGATCTTGTCTAACAATTTTGCTGGGGTTCCTGATGAGGTCACTCGTAGAATTGATGAGGGCCAGCCGGTGGAGGTATGCTATTTGGACTTCCCGAAGGCATTTGACTCGGTCAGCCACCATCTGTTGGAACATAAGATGAAATTATTGGAACTAATTGGGCAAGTCAGGAACTGGATAATGGGCTTTCTTACGCAGAGGACGGTTGGCGTCAAAGTAGGAGCTTACACATCCGAGGAGGAAGTAGTCACAAGCGGCGCATCCCAAGTATCCGTGCTTGGACCACTGCTGTTCCTGCTATACATTACCGACCTAGCACGGGATCTCCAAAATCCCTGTTTTCTGTTTGCAGATGACGTCAAGATAGCTGGATGGGACCTAG